TGTAACTTAGGACCATTTTAGATGCATAGCTGCTACTTGAAGAAAAGGTAGCTAGGAAAAGCATTGGCCAATTTCATCTGGTCAAACCAGTTATAGCCTTTTTAAGGATGCCCCACCCACAGTGATGCATGCTGACTAATTGAATGCACTATACAGGGGCTACCCTTGAAGGCCACTCAGAAGTTTCATCTGGTTCAGAATGCAATGGCTTACATAATGATGGGAACTGATAGATTTTTCCCAGATACCATCTTATCAGAAAGAGATTTCTAGTGATAGGTTTGATTCTGGGGGCAATTTAAGATGCTTTGGGATAGCAAGATCAGTCAAAAGATGCTGCAAAAAAGTTCTGGTTGGGTCCTTGAGATCACTGTTGATAAACCAGTTGTTATGAATTGGATGTGGTGGTTGTTGATCAGATACTGCTGATTTCCACTCCCTATTGTTTATGTCTTATTTAAAGCTTCTTTGAGCTCATTGGATTGAATGGCATATAAAATAGAGATATATCAATCAGTCAGTCAGTCAGTCAGTCAGTCAGTCAGTCAGTCAGTCAGTCAGTCAGTCAGTTAGTCAGTCAGTCTGATCTGGTTAACCTGATTTAGGGAACTATGAAAATAAAACTGATTTGAAACTACTGAAGATTCCCTACACCCCATTGAACACAAGTGTGGTCAACCACTGAACTTAACTATTAGGAATGCAAAAACCTTGGGGGTGGGGAAGTGGGAAAAACTCCAGAGGACTGATATAAAATAGAAGATATGGTACAAATAATTCAAGACAAGAGAAATAACCCAGCAGCTCTACTTTTATCAGGTACATTTAAAACGGGTTGTTTCCAATTTTGTACTTACTCGAGAAATCTCTGCTAAATGTGTATTCATATCTTGATCACTCACTTGTACCATCTGGCGAATACCTCTATAATAACTAGAAAAAAATGCATTTGTTGAAATAACAACCTTTAAAAACACTTTAACACTTTGTACTGAATTTATGACATTTTCTTAATACACATTGCTATGTTGAACTAGAATTTTTAAAAGATGGTTGCTGATTTTTATCTTAGATGTAGTTATTAAAAAAGGTCTGATATCCTCCTTATAGATTAATGTCAGGACCTGAAGTTTTCTCCATGCTGGATTTTGTAGGTTTTCAGAACAATTATTGACAGCTGAAATGAATAAAAATAGCAATAGTTGCTTAGGATGCAGAATAAAAATATTACCGTAGGCCAGGGATTAGCAATATTATAGGGGCAGTCTACAAGAAACTATTTGCTATTGTCATGAGAAAAGATAGAACCAACATTTGGTCTATTTTAAGGGAATAACGTCTCTATGCTTATTCTTAACTGTCTAAACTCTAGAAAAATCACATTTGGGACATTTTTGGTTGGGAATTTAAGTATGAGAGATCCATTTTTATCACCATTTTTAACTTAAGCCAGGGCTAACCCAATAGGGTGCTTGATAAGACATAGAGGTAGGTGATGTTCTATAGAGCTTTTAAGTCATTAGAGCTTCTATTACATCATTCTTCCTTATGCCTTGGTTTAAGCATTTCAGTGGATGACTGCTCTTAAATCCATTAAAGGCTTATGACTTATGCCACAATTTGGACCAAAATTTCCATCACTAAGCTGATGTGGTTATAAAGCGAGATGTCACATGACCATATTACTTAACAACCACAATCCTGGCACTGCTGGTTGCTATCATTAATCTAAAATCACAGATTGTTAAGCAGAGTGAGTCCCGGGTAAAAAGTGTGGGGGTGCCATGGGTGGATTGGGGGAAGCCCTGGGAAGTCTGGCGCGGGATATGATCATGCAGGGTGGGTGTTGCATAGCCCCAGCTGCCCCATCATCCTAGGTTTCATAGGTTTTACTGTGCCCAGATGCCCTTCACTCTTTTCCTACTGCTGCTAAGGTGCACTCAGCTTGACCCTACTGTATCCAAGCTTCTCGCCCTGCCAAGTCTTCTTCCTGAAGCTTTTATGGCATTCTCCAAATCACTTGTGCCATTTCTTCTCCAAATCGCATGTCCCATTCTTGTGATCTTTTAAAAACCTTATAGTCTTCCCCAGGCCTCACAAGACCAGATGTGCTGTTTGGAGAACGGCAGGAATCCTGTTCTTACAGTGCTTCGGAATTCCTCATTCTCCAAATTGAACACCTGTTCTTGTGAAAACTGGAGAAGACCAGGTTGTTTTTGAAGAATCATAAGAACAAGATGCATAATTTGAGAATGAATGGTTCATGCAATTTGGAGAATAAAGTCTAACAAAGCACCACGACGATGGGGTCCCTGATGATTTGCAAATAGTGTTCCTGTTCTTGTGAGTCCTGCAGAAGACGACCAGAAAGTTTCTAGAGCATGAGAATGAGGCACATGATTTGGTGAAGGAATGGAGCACATGATTTGGAGAACAGTGTATATGGCCTCAGGAAGAAGGCCTGGGGCAGCCAAATGTTGCCTTGCATTTGTTAAGGCAACATTTGGCTGCATGAGCACTGTCATAATTGTGAATGGTCACTGGAAAAATGGTCATAACAGGGAGACTACCAGTAGGGTTCAACATGACTTTCCTAATCAGCTGTTTAGCATGATGCTTTATCGTGGTTCCCAAATGGATTCATTAGTGGAGATACTGTAATAAGGATGAGGCTCACCTGAGCATCTGCTATACCCATAGCACATTTCAAGGTGTAAGAATAGCAATAGCAATAGCAACCAAAGAAACCAAAAGGTACAGTAGAACAATCTGTGCAGCTACCTAAAGGACCCACAAGCCCACATTTCTCATTCTGATTCAGCCCCAAATGTTTTCTGTTGCTTTTGTTGATCTCACACTCAGTGATTTCTTTAGAGCAAAGGAAAACAATCTTTTCTAGCCTACCTAGAAAAACTTTATCTCAGAGTAGATGATACCTTATAAAAATCCATGGCACAGGAAGTTTTGCTTCCTGACAGATATGCTGTCATAGTTTTTTCACTTTTGAAAGTGTTTCTTGGATGAGGAATTAAAGTAAGTTTCTTATTTCCTAAATCCATACTATGCACAAACTTACATACATGCCTGAATCAAAAAGGAAAAACCATCACAGTGAAATACTAGAATAAAATAAAAAAGGCAAAAATCATGATATTTTTAAAAGCCATGAATATATTCAAATGTTGAAAAATCATTCAGTTTCATTTGGCATTGCTAAATTGCCATCTATTTTGAAAATGAATATATTACTGCTATATTATTTGAGTTTATCATTCTTTTGCCTAATTTCCAGGTCATTTTTAGTACGATAAATATTCTAGTAAATTTTTATTTTTATCTTGATAATTTTTATTCAGGATATATTTAGAACCAACTTGCCCCCAAGCAGTATATGGTGCGAGAAACAAACATTTTGTCCCTGAGAATATAAAATAATAATCCGTAGTTCTCTCTACTTACTCTTCCACCATTTTCTTATATGTAGAGATCTCTTTTGCATAGAGTAACTTGTTACTTGGAGAATCCTGAAAAACAGAAAGGAGTAAAAACTGATTTTTTGAAACTCGTATATTTGTTTTTCCCTAGCATTGCAGAAATTTGAGGTAGAAAAATCCATTGCCTTCAATAAGGTGTATGTCACAGCATCATGATCTGAGGTGGTGCAGTGGCTAGAGTGCAGTACTGCAGGCTACTTCAGCTGACTGCTAGCTGCAGTTCAGCAGTTCAAATCTCACCAGGCCAGAGGTGGGTTCCTAGCAGTTCGCACCAGTTCGGTAGAACCGGTTCGTCAAATCTACCGAAGAGGTTCCACCAGTGGACCCGGAAAGCAGGCCACACCTACAGAAGAGGTTCCAAAATTTTTTGAAACCCACCACTGCACCAGGCTCAAGGTTGACTCAGTCTTCCATCCTTCCAAGGTGGGTAAAATGACGACCCAGATTGTTGGGGGAAATATGCTGACTGTGTAAACCTTAGAGAGGGCTGTAAAAGCACTGTGAAGCAGTATATAAGTCTAAGTGTGTATGTCAAAATCTGCTTGGTGACAGGTATAGGCTCATGACTGAAGCTCTAACCCCCCTTGTTGACTCTGATGCTGAGGCCATCATCTTGCACTTTCTCCTTCCTTTACGGATGCTGCTGCACACCATTTGGAAAGCAGAATATTGATAGGTTATATCAACAGCAAGAAGAAAAGTCATGGCGTTTAAAAGTTATTTATCTTTCAAAACAAGCATGAAAGAGAGAGAGAGATACCCCTCCCTCCCCAAAATCCATTGCTGCTGTTGGGAAAGCAATTCTTCTTCAGCCGGTGAAGTTAGCAGCCCATGAAACCATCTATAGAGAATCCAATTTCTGAAGAGCAGATTAACACTCCTTGAGCATCAGTATTCTGAAGCCTCAGAATACATTTTCTTTATTGCTACCTGCTGCTCATGTGTTTATTCAAATGTAACAGCAACTTGTGGTTCTTTCTCTGCCCTCTATCTTTTCTTCTACCACCTCTAGGTAACCTCTCTCACAACATCAACCAGACTTCTTCAACCCTGGGTTCAAGAAGTTTTGACTAGACTCAGCATTGTTTCCCCATGATATCAGGAATACCAGAAAGAAACCAAGTAGAGAAAAATTTAGTAAAGCCATCCATTTTGTGTGGATTTACTAAAAGCCCAGATGCCAGAGAAACAGGTAGAGAGAGACCTCTGGCAGTTTTTGTAGAAGAAGGGGCAAGTAGCTGTCACTCAGGAATTTTTAAGTAACTAAAAATATTCTATTATTAGATGCATTATAGAAACTGCAGGAAACAAATATCCCTGACTCTGTGAAGCAGCATAAATATCCCTGACAGGGGATGGAAAAATAAATAAGACCAAGTCTTTAATAAATTGGTGTCTGGTGGACCTGGTGTCTTCTAGATGTATTCAGTTTTAACTCCTTTAGTATAGTTGGATTTTAGTGCAATAGGGTTGAGGGAAGTAGTTGCAGATTGCAGAGACATAGAACTGAAGATGAAGCCTTACCCTGCTTAGTTTGTGCTCTGTTCTTGTGCAAGCATCCATGAAAGTTTGTGCGATGACTGATAAGGAAGCATCTACGACTTCGTGGACGTGAACGTCAAAAATGAAATGGGGATTTTTCAATATGTTCACCCAGAACCTAAGGGGCAAGCTGGAAAGAAAACAAGAAATAACTGAAATGGTATTCAGAAAAGGTAATGCTAACAAGCAAAAAGTGTTATTATTAGTAGGTAGGTACAGAGTAAGTTTCTTTGCATATCATCATAAACAGGAATTCCTGACATTTGGATGAATAGGATGTCAATACATTATTATTTCTGCTTTGCGCCTCTCGGCAACACAAATAATTAAATAATCACAAGTTGACTGGCTTGCTGTTATACTCAACTTTATATTTATGGGCTTCTTGATGCTGATTTGGGTTTTTTGGAGAGCAACAAAGCGGAGTGTGGTTTCATCGAATGCTAAGTCGGTCTCTGATAGAGTTTTCTTGATTTATTTAAGAAGGAGCACCAGTTAAGAAATAAAGCAGAGTGCACCAAAGAGCTTACTTATTCTAAGTAACCCAGAAGATGGGTTAACAAGCTTCCACAGTGTGCTTTTATACTAAAAAGAATTTAAATAATCTATCTGCAACACTCCCTGATCCAAAGAAATGCTGGCTTATTAGCAAAAGCTCTATTGCTCCGTAATAAAGATTTGTATGCAGTTGTAAGGATATTTTGACTCAGTCAAAATGCAGAAGCTTAGTGCTCATGTTGCAGATATGTATTATTCCAAAGGAAAGTCCAGCTGCACAAAGTATTAAGATAAAGTTTTTCAAATCGAGCTCAACGTTTGGTAGTCAAAAGTGAAACAAGAAAGAAATGTGGGCTGCCACATATTCTGTGCCACGTCTAGACTTTTCAGGTCTAACAAGCAATAGCAACAGAAGTGAGTAGCCCTTCTCTTCTATAAAATTGTGCTAGTGAATTCAGTGAAAAGTTGGACAACTCTATAGACAAATCCTTTGCTATGATCCCACTGCAGTGTTGGGGCTTATTGTGCAGCCCATCACCTCGTATTTTACAGATATCACAGGAAGGAGGGACTGTTCTCCATATACTCCCGTGATGGCGAACCTATGGTACACGTGGCCAAAGTGGCATGCAAAGCCACGTCACCCAGCACATGTGGCCTCGCCTGTTTGTCTTCCGGGTTTTTAGTGCCCATGCCCACATGATGATCAGCTGTCCTTTGCATGCATGGCAGTGCTAAAAACTGGTGTGCGCATACATGCTGGCCAGCTGATTGTCGGGTGTGCATGTGTGCCAGAACCCAGAAGTTTGGCTTTTTGGCTTTTCCAGAGTGCAATCCCTTCACGTGTGCGGCAATCCCAAAAACGTGTGCGGCAATGCTGAAAACCTGCCTGCACATACAGGCCAGCTGATCGTCGGGTGCGCATGTGCGTGAGAACCCAGAAGTTTGGCTTTTCTGGAGTGCGGTCCCGATGAACGTGCACGAGGACGCCGCCGGCCCCGTTCCAACCGAACCGGTTGGAACGGGGCGAGAAACCCACCCCTGGATGGCAGTCCAGTCTCTTCTTGAAAGCTTTCAGTGATTTAGAAAGCAGTTGTGTAAAAGGGCAGGAGCAAGGCTTTCCTTTCTCAGTGAAAAGGCTCGCTAGTTCACAGTTAGAGAGAAAAAGAAAAAAGTCTCTCGCGTAAGATCCCATGAAATTACAATCATTTACATTTTTAAAAGTAAAAAAAAAAAGCAATCATTTTTATCTGCTTTCAACACTCTTATGTTTCAGAGTCATTCTGAACTGGACAGTTTTACAAATTGAATAAAAAAATGCATATCTGAAAAACTGTTGAACCCCTCTCTGGAAGCTTAAGAAAAAGTTTGCTTAATCCCTGTTTTACCTATAGTTAGTTTGTTTATTTGATTGATTAGCCTATGGGTCACCTCAAAGTGCAGAGTTCCAAAGACAAATTATTACTAAAATCCGATTAAAAAAAAACAATTTAAAATGGAATCGGAATAAAATGCAATTAAAATGAAATTGGAATAAATGTACAATTTAAAACGAGATTGGAATAAGATACAATAATTTAATATATGGATAAATAAATAAATAAATAAAATATGATAAAATTACATTTCAGTACCACCCCTACAGTCTACTCCAGTCGGTCCCACTCCTATAGTAATAACAAATAAACAGAAAGAAAAGAAACAAACTTCTTGATAGTTAACTATGTACTATTTTCCTTCCCAGCTACCTGTTTGTTTTCCAGATGTGGATGGTGTCCTCATCTTTGATGTCATGCTTCTCTGCTTGCTCATCAAGGAAGTCAAAGAAATATTTCACAGCTGGCGGAACAACATGGTGTGAATCAAGTACACTATGGAAAAAGTTATCTACAAATTGTTGAAGTGTACCCTAAAGGGGGGGAAGCACACACAGAGTACAAACATTTTAAAAAAATTATTCAGGTAATGGTGTTAAGTGTAACATTTTCCAGCAGATCCTTTCAATTTATAAGAACGCTTCCGAAATGGACTTATAGTGTACAAGACTTTATCTCAAATGGCCACGGAATCACAATGCCTCCACTGCTGCATTTTTCAACTATAAATGGGTTATAAATGCTCTTATGAACATAAAAACGAACAGTCGTAACAAATGTTCCAGGATTTCAGAAAGAATAATTCTCACCTCTGTTTATAAAGAGGTGGCAATTTCAGCATTGTGGCTCAGGGAGAACAGACGACTCTGGTCTGAAATAAATGGGCAACCAACGGCAGGAATTGGTGGGAGAGTAATGCACTTACAACTGAGCTTTCTGGATATATTATAACAACAATATTGAGCTTATAGGGGGGGCACTTAATTTTTTTATGATGTACTAACTTTATTATTAAAAAGTTCAGCATTTCTTATAACAGTGTGTGGATTGATGGATAGAAGGAAGGGAGAGAGGGAAGGAAAGAGAAAAAGAAAGAAAGGAAGGAGGGAGGGAGAGAGGAAGGAAGGAAAGAAAAAAGAGAAAACAAGAAAGGAAAGAGAGAGAAAGAGAAAAGAAGAAATAAAAAGAAAGAAAGAAAATTAATGTGCACAGTGTACTCAATGCATCAAAGATCTGAAAATCCATTAAAATAGGTTTGCTGTTCCCAATAATTTTTTTGAGCATCAAACTCCTCCTTTTAAAGTAGTGAGATACTTATATCATATAACTGTCCCAAAAATCTGAAGGGTATTAACATTGGTGTGCTGAAATGCACTTCTTACAAAAACTCCATATGAGCTGAGACTTTACCCACGGACAAGGAGCCATTGAAATTACAATTCATCTCCTGCTATGCTGAATCTTTTATATCAGCGATGGCGAACCTTTTTTGGCTCGAGTGCCATAAGTGGAGGGAGCGCAGGGGGGGTTGTGCGTGGGCATGACCCACCCATAATGCGTGACCCCCCATTTTTTGCATCCTTTTTTTGCCTTCCCCAGGCTCCAGAGGCTTTATAGGAGCCTGGGGAGGGGGAAAAAAGCCTCCCCCCATAGGCCCAAACATCCGGTTTACCCACAGGGCCGTTTTTTTGTGCTCCAGCGGCTTTAGGAAAGCTCCTGAAGTCTCTAGAGGGCCTCCGTGGGGTGGGGGGGAGAGGCTCCTTTCGCCCTCCCCAGGCTCCTATAAAACCTCTGGAGCCTGGGGAGGGCGAAAAATGGCTTTAAAAAAGGGTGAACTCAGCTGGCCAGCGCGCACATGCGCGCTGGTCCTCTGACAGGGCAGCGCCTCATGTGCCCTGACAAATGGCTCCATGTGCCAACTAAGGCACGCATGCCATAGGTTCGCCATCCCGGTTCTATATCAACGATGGCAAACCTTTTCAGCACCGAGTGCCCAAACTGGAATGCACATGCATGTACATGCATGTGTGCATGCTAGAGCGCCAGAAACCCGAAGACCAACTGGCTGGTGTACACAGCTGGTCTTTGGATTTCTGGCAAGCGCATGTGTGCCGTCCAGCTGGTCTTTGCATGCATCAGAGCACAGGAAACCTGAAGACCAGCTGGCTGGTGCGTGCATGCCTGTTTTTTGGCCATTTTGGAGGCCATTTTCCAATTGTTTTTTTGGACCATTTTTGGCCGTCTTCTGGGCCGTTTTTCAAGCCATTTTCCTAGCCATTTTCCAGAGCTTGCAAAGACCAGCGTGTATGCTGGAAACCAGAAGAGCAGCTGGCGACGGCGTGCGTGCCCACAGAGAGGGCTCTGCGTGCCACCTCTGGCAGGCATGCCATAGGTTCGCCATCACGGTTCTATATGCACTCACAGACTCAATCTATAACAACCCACCTAATAAAATAACCAGGAAATATTGATCTCTTTTTTGTGCAACTGCTGTTATCAGATCAGAACAAACTACCATATTTTTCGGAGTATAAGACGCACTGAAGTATACACCCAGATTTTGAAGAAGCAAATGTTTTTAAAAAGTAGATAGGTAGATAGAGGGATAGAGAGGGAGAGAAAGAGAGAGAAATACAGTAGATAGGCAGGGAGAGAGAGAGATAATAGGTAGGTTGGTAGGTAGAGGGATAGAGAGAGAAAAATAAAGAGAGAAATACAGTAGATAGGTAGGGGGGGAGAGAGAGTAAGTAGGTAGGTATATAAGTAGATAGAGGGAGAGAGAGAGAAATACAGTAGGTAGGTTGGGAGAGAGAGTAGTTAGGTAGGTAGATAAAGGGATAGAGAAAAAGAGAGAGAAATAGAGAGAGATGTAAATACAGTAGGTAGGGAGAGAGAGAGAGTAGGTAGGTACGTAGATGTTTCCAGATGTATTTATCCATGTGCTGGAGAAGGAAATTGCTGACAATTGTAGCAACCACTCTAAGTAAACAGCTTTATGAAAGGGAAAAAAAAGGTTTTGCACTCTGCAAACTTCCCCAAAACGACCCATTTTTTTCAAATAAAAGGCATGAATAGCCTTGGGGAAGGCTTGCAGAGTGCTCCTATGGAGTGGGGGGGGGGAAGAGCAAAAAGCGGCCAGTTTTTCGCAAAAATGGGCCTTTTTTGTCAAAAAAAGGCATGCCTTATAGAGTGCTGCTTGGGGGGGGGGGCAAAAAACAGCCCATTTTTTGCTTATTTCTGCCCTCCCCAGCCCCCAAGAGCTGTCTGAAAGCCTCCATAAGGCTATGCACGGCCATTTTAGTGAAGGGGCGGGGCTTCAGGAGGCAAAAAATGCTGTATTCGGTGTATAAGACGCACCCAGATTTTCAGCCTCTTTTTAGAGGAAAAAAGGTGCGTCTTATACTCCGAAAAATACAATAGATTCTTTGAATGTAGTCAAATTTTGTTATATTGTATGCAAAATTAGGCTGACGCTAACTGCCCACTGATAATCCATCCCTAAACATAATATATGATTTTGTCTGCTTGTTATTTTTATTTATTGTTATTATTATTATTTTAAATGCTTTTATTTGTAATACTTGTCTGTGACCGTAATAAACGTTGATAGGAAGGAAGGAAGGAAGGAAGGAAGGAAGGAAGGAAGGAAGGAAGGAAGGAAGGATGGATTACCTTTGGAAAATAATCCATATTTAATTGGGATGCATAAACACAACAAGAACACCTGCAATCTGATTGGACATCTTGCTAATAAACCAAAGATTTTCATAGAAAAATCAGTTTGGCTTGATTAAATTTGAACTGGTCCTGTCTGCTCTGCATGTCACATTTTTGCAGACACTATTAAGCAGTTTTTATATATCAATAAACAGCTCACAAATGAACTTCAATATAGTGTAAATAAAATTACACACCAAATTGCTATAGAAATATTAATGTTTACAGAAGAGGACCTCATGGGGAATTGTTCTTGGGCTTTAAATTGATTTAAGCCCTATCTAGGCATGAAACTTTCCATTTATATGAACAATTCTGCAGGGTGTTCGTACAGATCAGTCATATGATGTATCCCTAGAATGGTACTCTGCCTATTCAGCATGAACTTCCGCCAAGGGGAACTGCTCTAGACTACCACGTGAGCTAGAAACCTATGATGTACATCCAGAGTCTTTTGCAGAAATTGGTGCTATTCACGCAGAGCCTGCAAAAGTATTTAGCACCGAGGAGAATGGATTCTACCCTGCCATTTTCCAAATTTATCAATACCTAATTATAGATAACTCAAGTATTTAGAATTTATCAACACAGTCTAACAATATACATAGAGAGGATAAGTCTACATATCTAATTTTAAAAAGCTCCAGTATTATGGCCCCCTTTAAAATCAAACTTTAAACTGAGCTTGGTTTCTTTGAAATAGATAAGGAACAGCATTCTAGAAATAGATTAAAATGGAACCTTATTGTCAGAATGGCTGGGGAAACAAATGAGCTAGTGTTTTCCGTTTCTGGTTGCTTCTACTTGTTTAATCATGGCTATACACTGCATTTTTTGTGGTATTTTAATTTTTTATTATGGAGAGCCCCAACATATAGAAAACATATATGCATCTAGTAAACAAATAAATAAATTTCTCTTCTTCAGTCAGATGTTTTCAGAACTGAAGCAATAGTATTACATTGCTATTCAGAACCTTTTTGGGGCTGGTGTAAATGTTCAGAATTGATGCTGGGCAACTATTGGAAATGACTATAACTCCAAACAATGGCTGGCAATAACTTGGTATCAGGATGTTACCACATCATCTTACTGCCCTCCTTTCAATTTCTCCTTTTTCTCATTTTTGGGATGGGGATTCTTTAAAACTGTAGTTGTTCTAGCTAGGGAGAATTTAATTTTTAGTTGTTAAGGTTATGAGAAAGACGGGGCCAGATGAATCAAAAGTTTGAATTAAGATTGTTGGGAGAAATATCAACAACCTCAGATATGCAGATGATACCACTCTAATGGCAGAAAGTGAAGAGGATCTAAAGAGCTTCTTGATGCAGGTGAAGAAGGAGAGTGCAAAAATTGACTTGAAACTCAACATTAAGAAAACTAAAATCATGGCATCCGGCCCTCTCAGTTCCTGGCAAATAGATGGGGAAGAAATGGAGGTAGTGACAAATTTTACTTTCCTGGGCTCCAAAATCACCGTAGATGGAGACTGTGGCCAAGAAATTAAAGGATGCTTGCTCCTGGGGAGGAAAACTATGGCAAATCTAGACAGCATACTAAAAAGCAGAGACATCACTCTGTCAACAAAAGTGTGCATAGTCAAGGCTATGGTTTTCCTGATTGCAATGTATGGCTGTGAAAGTTGGACCATAAAAAAGGCTGAGTGCCAAAGAATTGAGGCATTTGAACTATGGTGCTGGAGAAGACTCCTGCGAGTCCCTTGGACTGCAAGGAGATCAAACCTGTCAGTCCTAGAGGAGATGAACCCTGATTGCTCTT